TACATCATCTGCATACATTGTACATTTGATAGGAGTAGGGAGAGATTGCATGATATCGTTGATGGCTAGTAAGAAAAAGGTGACACTTATTCTAGGTAGACTCCTCCTTGTGGTACACCATTTTGATTTTCAGTTAACTCTGAAAGCTGCCCATTTACTCTTACTCGAATGGTCCTATTTTTTAGATAGTTAATTTCAAAATTGAGCATATGTCCATTTATTTGGTTTTTTGCAAGTAGTATAATGATTCTATGGTTCTAGACCATGTCGTATGCTTTTTCTATGTCTAACGCGACAAGTGCTAGGTGTTGGCCATTGATGAAAGCTTCGCAAACAGCCGTTTCTATAGTAATGAGGCTGTCGGTTGTGGAGTGAAATTGCCTGAATCCATGTTGCTGTGGAGAGATTAGATTTCTGGATTCTAGATACCATTTGAGCCTGTTATTGACCATCTTCTCCATAAGTTTGCACATGCAGCAGGTTAATGCTATAGGTCTATAGTTTTCCTTGAGGCTTGGGTTTTTGCCTGGTTTTGGTATAGGAACAACTATTGCTTCTCTCCATTTGTTCGGGAAAATGTTCTTTTGCCATATACTGTTGAAAATAATTAAAAGGTATTGTAGTCCTGAGGTTGGTAGATTTTTCAAAAAGATGTTAGGTATATTGTCTGGTCCAGCACTGGTGTTTCTGCACGAATAGAGAGTGTTTTGCATTTCTGATAGTGAAAATTCTTTATTTAAGATATTTGAACTGCTGCTTGCTTCTGTTTCGTTGACATAGTTTTGCTGTGTTTCTGCTTCTGTTTTTATTTTTAAAAAGTTTTGGTTATAATTGTCATCGCTTGAATTTTTTGCAAAATTTTGAGCTAGAAGATTGGCTGCTTCCAAGGAGTTGCATGTATATGTGTTTTCTGTCTTAAGGATAGGTGGAGTTTTCATGTATTTTTTCTTGTTGTTTATAGAGCGGATTTTATTCCATATCTCTTTGTCTGGTGTCTCTTTTTTTAGGTTTGAAATGAATTCGTACCATGATTTCCTTTTACTATTTTTAATTATTCGTCGCGCTGTTGCTCTTTTCTTTTTATATTCTACTTGGTTAGTAAGGGTTCTGTGTCGTTTGAAGGTATTAAAAGCGTGTTTAGCTTCTTTTATCGCTAATTCACATTCTTCATTCCACCAGGGTAAATTTTTCTTTCCGAATTTTTCCGTAGTTGTTGGAATGCTTTTAGTTCCTGCATTTATTATGAGGTTTTCGAATTTTTCAAGTATGTTGTCTAGATCGTTATTTGTGTAACAGCTGGGGTTTGAGAGAGTATTACTATTTGTTTCTATGTATTCTTGGAATTCTTTCCAGTTAGCTTTTTTGAATTTCCATTTTGGTAAAAAGATTTCTTCTGGGTTATTGTTGAATTCTATTGTTATAGTAATCGGGTAATGGTCACTGTCATACAAGTCGGTCGACGTTTTCCATGAAAGGACTTTGGCTAAGTGTGGTGAGCATATGGACAAATCAATTAAGCTTAGGGTACCAGAAGAGATGTTGAAGTGCGTAGGTTCATTGGAGTTTAGAAGTACTAGATTTTGTTCAGTAATAATTTTTTCGATAATTTTGCCACGAGCATCGATTCTAGCCGAGCCCCAAAGTGTATGGTGGCTGTTAAAATCTCCGACTATTAACAGCGGCTGGGGTAACTGTGAAATTAGATTATCTATGTGCTCTTTTGTGATGGGATTACTATTTGGGAGGTATAGATTGCATATACAAAAGCACTTTGTGGGTAATTTGACTGATATGGCTGTAACTTCTAATTCAGTTGTGATGTTTATTTCTTTGCATTCTATGTCTTCTTTTACATATATTGCTACTCCCTCGCTAGCTATTGGACTGGTGTTTCTGTTTGTATAAAACAATTTGTAGTTTTTTATGCTGGTGTAGCTATTGTTTTTGAAATTTGTTTCCTGAATACATATCATGATTGGGTTATAGTCATAAATTAACTTTTTAAGGAATTCGCAATGTTTATTTAGGCCGTTTATATTCCACTGTATGATGATGTCGTTGTTGTTGTTATTTTTATTCATAATTATATATATTTTTATTTTTAATAAAATTCGTCTTGTGTGGATGAGTCTTCATCTACAGATTCGATAGTATTTTCAGATGAAGTGTTGACTGGAGAGGAGAGTTTCTTAATGATAATTGTGAAGCGTTTCTTCATGCTACGACTAGTGAGGAGGGGATATAAATCGTTTTGCATTAGTGTTACGAGAGCTTGTGTGTTCGACGTGTATTGTGAGACAATGTCGGTTGTATTAACTGATCCATGGAGGTTCTCTAGTAAGCTCTTGAACTGTAAAAAATTTAGGAGTTTATTTGGCTCCTCTAATTTATTTTTTAATGGACTTAATAGTTCGTCAAGAGTTTTTTTTGAGCCGTGTTTTTTTTTTTGTGATTTTGGTTTCTTTTTTTTGGTGGGCGTTTGAATTCTACGGGTTTTGGATCCTGAATTTTGACATTGAGCGAAGCTTGCGATGCTAATGAACTGATTTCTGAGTGTGTACGTTTCAGTCCGGAATACTGTGTGTTGATTGGACTGGAAGTTGATCATCTAGGATTGAACCTAATGAGAGGTAAGTATTATCAATTTCGGGTGTAGTCTGCGGTAGTGTCAAATTTGAATTCTTGTTTTGCTCGATTCCGCTTGTGCAATTTTTGGCTACGTGGCCTTCGGCTTTACATAGGAAACATTTGAGCGAATCGGTACTGGTGTAGATAAAGTAATTGGTTTCATCAAAATAGATTTTGAAGGCTTCCGGCAGTTTTTTAACGTCTTCGGGTTTTATATACACCTGTCTTCTAAAGCTGGTTACCTGGCTATATCCCCCTTTTGTAATAGTAGCTTTTAAGGTTGTAATTGGAGAAGCGCGTTTTATATTTAATTCTTCTAGTATGTCTTCAAGAACATAACTCGGTATGTTAGTTGGAACATTTGAAAGAACTACTCTTTTGTTTTTTGATACTAGCGGTCTTATATAAACTGTTTTTTCACCTACATGTAAAAATTTGTGTTTATCGGTGATCGTGTTGACTAATTCCTTACTTGACAGGTATATGCATATTCTGTTGTTGCTTATTCTTGAGGATGAGATCACATTAATTGGCTGTACAATATCTCCTACGGCGCACGTGTAGTCGGAAAGGTTTAGTCCTTCTTTGCACTCGACGATGAGGCCTTGATTTCTTTCTGGGCAAGTTTGGACAGCAGCAGCATACGTAGGGTTTGGTATTTTCCTTGGTACAAAGGTCGGAATTTCAGTCATCGACAGCTGGCTTCCTTTAATGGAGGCCATTTCAGTTTATAGGTGCACTCGCAAAAAGCGGCTTTTGATATGGGCCTTGGCCCAGACGATGTTTGTAATCAATCAGTCGAATAACGTAGGATATACGGAGCGCGAGGTAAACACGTCTACACTCTATAACGATCCGACAAGGACTCAACCGTTGGTTTTGTTTTACCTAAATCTTGTCGTGGTGGGAGTGAACTCACAATGTAACGATGGGAAACTACTTGGGGGTAAAGGAAGCCCTTTCGGAAAAATTCTGTCAGTCGGTTAGCAATTGGGCGACAGAGGTGTTCAGTTCACGGGAATATTACGCAATGTTATGGTGGTACGTACAGAATAACGAATATGCGGGTGTTGCTGTGCAAGTGTTTGGTTACGTAAAACGACTGAAAAATTGAAAACAATCCGCCCTTTCCGGGGCCACAAATTATGCTAACGTAGTAACAACACGTTGCATTAAAAATACATTAAGTGATTGTGTCGGGTGATCAGTGTTAGCGGTCGTGCAGTGAAGTGAGTACGTATTCGGTGGAATAACCAGGACGCACTTGACGTTACAACCCTTAACTTCGACTAACGAGGTATACCTGCGATCCCCTGCGAACTGGGCGATACCCTGCCATAAACCGTTTCGGCCGTCGATGACCAGGATCGGTTCAGTGACCTAGTGACACAGGTTTGCAAACTGCAGGTGTTCTATTTATTGCTGATTATTATTTTCTTAATTTAACGCAAGCTATGGCTTATTACCGACGATAATTCTGCATGTTTCTGTACCTAACTTTTTCTTCGGGCTTTTTGAAGAAACTTATTCATTATCAGTAACATTGTTGACCGTTATTAAACTACGAATTTTTATACCAATACCGAATTACGATCACTTCTCGTTCATTCTTTGGTACATTACCTTTTCGTTCACACGTTATTTGAAAAGGAAATTTACAAATTCGTAAAAAGGAATTTACAAAACAGTAAATGTGCATTCGTCTTTTTATGTTACACATAATTTGCCTACATTTACGTTTCATTCATTAATCTCTTTAAATAACAAACGGCAGATGATAAATAGTATGATTGTATTTGTTACGTCTTTTTTATTTGCTATTATACGCAGTTTCCTGCGATACATGCTGACCTACTTATTTGGAGCTTCGTAGTACAACCGTAGCGCGTAGCCACCGCTAGCGCGGGAACTCGGCTGGCAAACTCGCGCTCTGATTGGTCGCGGTTTTTCGTTAATATCCTGGTAATGAAGCCTCAGATTACATTGTTGCTAAGGAAAAAGTTGTTCCAATTCACCCCCCGAGTGCTCCATTTCCAGGTCGGAAGACATTTTAGGGACACCCTGTATACTAAAATTTATTATAAAATTAAGTTATGTGCATAAAATATTAGCTTTATGCAAACGTAATGGCCCACTTTCCTTCGAAAATCTTTATGAATACTGAACGATTGCCACAGACTCGGTTACTTGAAATATTTTCTAGCATTTCGTGTCAGTTTTTGTTACCTTTTGTTGAAAATTAAATTCTCTGTCGACAAAATGAAATAAAACCACACTGTCAACTTAAATACGACGACCATTACATTTGCGTACACTTAATATGTTTCTTATTACTTAATACATTCGTTCAAAATCTTTCGATCACTGCGTTTATTCAGGTACTATCCTTGTACCACGTGGGCGTGTGTTATATTTGCTGCGACAATTTCTTGTGCATTATGAACCTACATGTGGCTGGCCAGTTTCGTATATTGCAGTACAGGTTCAGAAACTTGCATACGTTACAACTTAAGGATGAAGAACACGAAAGACCAACCACTGGTTCGTTTTACTCCGCTCAGAAGTATTACAACTCATTCAAAATCTGCATCCAACAGCATCAAGCACTCACTACGTTCTGCGCCGGGTTGGAGAGTGTGTTCAGCGAAATTGTGCTCGCACAAGTGCTGACTTTCAGCATGCTGATTTGCCTTGTCGGGTACCACTTAGTATTGGTCAGTATATAAGCTTTCTAGGTTGTTAATAAAAATGTAAGACACTTTTACAGAGTAGATTCTACATACAAGACTAAGACCAAAATCAAGATGACGAAAGTGCGTTCGAGGCTACAACGGGGAATTCGGTAACGACGAATATAGATGGTTTTTAATTGTACAGGTTTGTAGAGGACCTTAATAGGAGTATTAAGGAATTTTTTTTCCTTATTACTTTACACTTCTTCAGGGTGAAACCCTTTAAATGTTAATGTGTGTTTTCCTGTTTTCCTACGTATTTTGACGAGATAAATATTTAGGAAAGGGGGCACAGTTCTGATGACCTTGACCTTGACATACATCGTCAAGGTCACCCTCCTGAATGACCTTCCGAAAGTTTCAGTTCGTTTTTTATTAAAAAGTTATGAACAAATCAATTTCGCTATATAAAGGTGTATGTTTAACTTCATAATTTAAATTTTACCTAGTATAGACACTATATTATTAGCATATCTGCTTCTGTATATGAGTGCATGAACGATCTACCCCTGCACCACCGCCTCGGGAAAAACTCTAACCCAAATCTAACCCGACTTCATTTCTGATTAAATTAAAACAAAATTTAGGTTAGCTTAGGGATAGGTTTTTCTCGGGGTGAGTTTGCAGGCCACACAATCACTTAAAGGAACAAATATATTAATGATATAATGTTTACACTATTTAGGTAAGATTTAAATTATGGAGTTAATATGCATACATCTTTATATTAATATAATCATACATCCTTATATTGCAAAATTTATTTGTTAATAACTTTTTAACAAATAACGAGCGACTTCTAAAATTTTCTTAAGGTTACTCAGGAAAGTGACATTTACAATATATATTAAGGTCAAGGTCATTGGAACCCTTGAATATTCAAAATAACTGCTGCATTTTGCAAATTATTTTGTTTATAGCTTATTAACAAAACACAAACGACGGATAAAATCTTCTAAAAGTCACTGAGTAGAGTGACCTTGACAAGATATGTCAAGGTCAATGTTATCAGAGCTGCCTCCCCTATTCTAAATATTTACTCTTGAAACTTATATTAGGTATAATTAAATTTTTACAATGAACATTTAATGACTTTTTATTCTCTATAAAACTGTTTCACAAGAACTGATTGAAATTTATTATTTAAATAAATAAACAAATTTCAAAAAAGTCAATTAAATTTTTATTGTAAAAAAAAAATAAGATGTAGTTTCCAAACTATACAGAAAAATAAGGAAACTCACATTAACATTTACGGGGTTGTTTTCACCCTGCAAAACCAAACAGTAACAAAAAAGAAAATTGCCTGATACATCTATTGAGGTCCAATACAAAGCTGCAAAGTTTTCCTGTATACAATAATATACAAATCTACTACAGTTTCCAAGATATACAAAGAAATAAGAAAGCATATATTAAATTTGAAGGACCATTTTCACTCGTCAGAACCAAAAAGTAGGAAAAAATAAAATTGTTTGATACTTCTATTGAGGTTTCCTGAAAGCTGCAAGTACTTAAAAAAGTCGTAATTTTCGGGTCACCGAAAATCCTTTGTTAGTGAGATTTTAGTTACATTACACCCTGTTCAATAAGCGTCTTTCTCCATTCTTATTCAGAACTAATAAATTTGTTACTTTCTGATGCTTCTTTAATGTTTTCGACACAATGGACCGAGCAGGCTGAGTCGTCTTCTACGAGCCACGTTATATTCGTGAATCTCTTATCGTCGACTATGTGCCAGCTGTTCATGTTCACGTACAGTTGCGATTGCTTGATACGTGAAAGCACGAACGTGTGTTCAGAGGCATTCGCATCACCTTGGAGTGAATTACCGATCGACAGATACGGGAAAATGCTGCGAAAGGATCTGCAGTTTGTAATAATGAGATCGAAACGGTCTTGTTGTCTGACGGCCAATAGATTCTTTCCGGTGTCGTTGCAAACTTATACCAGCGTAATTATCAAATTTTTTAGCTAAATTCATATTTTCATAGGAATTCTAATTAATGGTCCAATTCACGTTTGCTTTGTATGTGTTCTGTTAATAAGCTTCAGTGGATAATTTATAACAGTATACGGAGAATCCTCGATGAGTGTTCGAGGGCTCCTCGGCACTGATATGGGGAGATCCCCAGTTTTGCCGCTGACTTTTTAATAAGGTTTAGTAAACTAATAGAGCTTGGAATTCTGAAGCCAATAATGTTTGTTTCAGCCACATATGGCCATTAGTTTATGAAATATTTAATGTTCAGTACCGAGGAGCCTTCGAACAATCATTGGGTATTTACTGTAGTTCATTTGGAATTCTTATTTCTTATAGAACTGATATTTCACTATGAATTTGTTTTAATATTTAAATTCGAATGTCCATTACCGTCCATGAGTTTCAAATCAGTCATATTTTGTAGTTAGTATGTTGAATGTAACCGCCTGTAAAAAAAAGTTTATTGCATACTTCGACCAGTTTGCAGAAAAAGTTTTTTTTCCTAATTACACAACCGCGTGTTAAATTATTCTGTACTTGTGTTACAGATACTCAGCACGTCGATGTCGTACTTTACGTTATTAAAACAGAACTCCGATGATACAACTAATACGTAGTATTATCAGCTCTAAAGACGTTTTATTACATATACCGTTTTGTACTTGTATTATATCAAGTGTATGACGATGAGTGTATTATATCGAGTGTATCTACGATCGACATATATCCCTAACAATCCCACTTTCTCTTGGTATCGTTAATTTTTTATTTTAAAATTCAGCGGTACACTCTAATTGGTTAATTCAACGATTAGACTGCGGATGTTTTTGCATAAACTGGGATCAAACATAGATTTGTTTACTCTATTAAAACCTCATCAAACTTGATTTAACTCTTAGCTATATCGAATATAGAATAATCGTGTATTTTACAAACGATAATAAATCTGTGATAATAAATAATACTAAATATGTTTCACAAGTAAACTTAGACTAAGCAATGCTGAAACAAAATTGAACTCTTAAAATACAACGAATTCTCGTTCACAAGCATGTATTTGATTACATCAATCAGTAAGCAAATTTCATAAATCTGTTCCATGTTCCATTAAAACGTCAATACGCCCTTGAAATATCCAACGCGTATTTTTGGGATTTACCGAACTAGACTATAACAGACTATAATCGACTGCGCTAATTTATCATTCAAAATAAATTTCTCTTCACAATATATTCGTTCTCAAATTCATTTCTCTTCACAATATATTCGTTCTCAAATTCATTTAAAAAATAATTTAATGTAATTGTCACGCGACTGAGATTTGATCTTTAAACAACAAAATATCGTTCGAAAGCGATTTTAATTATTGTATATCCAGAATTCACAGAATTTCATGAATCATGATAATAAGGTTACAAATCCTTCCGGTGGCATACAGGTCAGACATCGCGAAAACCTGACTGAAACCCCAAGAAAAAAAGATTTAAATTTCCGATTTTGAATCGTTTGGTTGGGTACATAGATAGTTAGGGCATTAAATGGCGAGGGGTGAGGTGTCGATTGCTTCTACCTGGGCCTATAACTCACAATCAGTACAAAAGTGACCATAGCTCGAACCACACCTTACGCCGAAAAGAATCTAAAACATGTCGCCCATTTAAAAACAGTGTACCTTTGGTGAGAGTGTATTAATTTCAATGTAGAAAAATTGATCCTATTCCTGAAAGTAAGTAGAATCGATACCTATATTTAAGATATCATAATTAAAACGTGAATCGTGACAATTTGTGGTCTCTTTGTGTAAGAAAATTCAGAAAACACTTCATGTAAAATTTTTGAGAATGTAGAGATATATTCAGTATTCTACAATATTCCGGTGAGAGGCTTCCATATAGGTACATATAGTATATTCTAATATCTAAGAGAATCAACAAGAAAATTCTGTTATAAATACGCACGGGGCGAGTAAAAATTTGTGGCCAAGATAAAAACTTTTATCTCCGTAACTATGTATTAAATGTAGTAACTCCATTTCTTTAAAATTGTAATTGTAAACATTCTTTAAAATTGTAATTGTAAAATGTAACTCTCCCCCATCTGCCCTACACG